ATGAAGTACACATTCTAAAATGTCCTTCCCACCTCTTTGGAAACAACTCTCCAGAGGCCCTGTCTTCAACCTAAACCCATCTTCACCAAGCTTGGCAGGTGGCCAGCCACCCTTGTTCTCAGTAGTGACGGAGAAGCCAGGGAGCCTGGGGAGGGACAGGTCTGGGTCTCAGAGAGCATCCTGCACATGCGCAGTGCCGCCTCAGCTGGAGGGCGCTCCCTGGAAGTCCAGCCACTCAGTAGGCTTCTCCCTGCCATTGCTGACACTGCCCGGCTGACGTGGAAGGCCAGCACCATTTTGCCAGATTCTTCCCGTTCCAGGAAGCTGTCTGCTCCTCTGGTTTTGCCAACATCTGGACCAGAGACTGAATGACCACACAAACTGGCTGAGAAGGGGCCGAGGCAGAGACGGCCAGGGCCCTCTCCAGCCCACCTCCCCCCTGCAGCGACCTCTGGGCCTCCTTCAGCAGATGAGTTCACAGGCACCATGACTCTTGGCCTATCCGTGTGCACATTTCAAGATTATTAGAAGATAAATGTGAGTTGTTTTTTTTTAAAAAAAAAACAAACTGAATTACCTTTAGAGCAATTTGTCAGCCTCTAAATTTCAAAGTAAATTTCAGGTGAGACCAAAGCGCTCTCGAGAGTTTCTTCTAAAGCCAAGAAAACCTCTGAAGAATTTTCCAACTACCTCCAAGCTCAAAGCAGATTGTAATGATTTTCCTGTTTTCTTTTCTGATTATAAAAGTGTGATTCACACTCACACACTTGAGAATTGCAAGCAGAGTTCCAGGAAGCAAAAATAACCCACAATCCACAAAACTGCATTCTCTCCAGCACCGTCTCTACATGTTTAAATGACTCCTGCACTTGCAAAGAAAATGACACGCATGTGCTCTGGTACCCATTTCCTCCCTGACATTCATGGTTTATCTTCAACTTCAGGGAAAACCAAGCAGAGAGAGGACGGGAGAGAGTAGAAAGAAGGGGGCTACCATCGGTCCTGCTTGCAAAAGATCCGATAAGTTTACCCAAAACCAGCACACATGAGGCAGGGGGTACCCGCCAGAGATGGGAGTTTGCCCTGCACAACAAAGAATCCCTTTTTACAGTGGTTAGAGACACAAGATTTGAGATTGATGAAAAAAAAGTAGCCCGTCTACAAAGTAAAGATGGAAAGCTTCTTTTGACCCCATGATAAAGGAAGATAACAAAGAGCACATAATAACTGAGATAACCCTTCAGCCACAAGGGAAAGAGCTAAGTCAACACAATCCTGCACTGTCCCCTCTGAATGCAGGCCTGGAGGAGGAGAGTACGTGGCACGGAGCTTCAAGGGCAGGATTGGCTGTTGCCATCTGTTTTAGTCAGGTGTTTCACTTCTGTGACGAAAGAACGCCACCAGAGCAATTTCAGGGGAGGGAAAGTTTATTGGGGGCTCACAGTTTCAGAGGTCTTAGTCCACAGAAGGTCAGCTCCATTCCTCAGGGGTCAGGGTGACGCTGAACACCATGACCGAAGAGTGTGGCTCACATGATGATCAGGAAGCAGAGGGAGATTCCCCTGCCAGATATGAATATATGCCCAGAGCCACGCCCCAATTCCCACCCCTCCAGCCACACCCACCACTGCCGTCACCACCCAGTTAATCCCACCAGGGAATTCATTCACTGATTGGGTTAAGACTCTCACAACCCAATCACGGCTCCTCTGAACCCTCTTGCATTGTCTCACATGTGAGCTTTTGGGGGACACCTCACCTCCAATCTCTCTAATCTCCCATCATTACCCCTGAGATCTGATGGCCAGGATGTGGGTTTGGATGCTATGTCTTCTCAAGCCACTGACTTTTGAATCTAATAGTTAAGAATAAAGTGTCCAGAGGTGACCGCTACTGATCCGTTGATCGGAACACTGAATCTGATTTAGGCTCTCCATGTGCCGGACAGCCTGCCACCTCCAGAACACCAGGCTGGTGGGGCAGGGAATACGCCCTGGAGGAGCAAAGTCTGCCAGAACCAGACGGCCCTCACAATGCACTGTTGCGTGTGGCTGCCAGGTGGTGCCCGCAGGAGCAGGAGGGGCAGGCAGGGCTTCGCAGAGGGGCACGTGCGCTGTGTCCTGGTGTAAGCGTTCATGGGGCAGCAGGGGACTCCGCAGCGGTGCTGCATAGGTGACTGGGGCACCCAGGGAGTCCAGCAAGTGGGGCGCCTTGGGCACCATGCGGTGGGGACTGCAGACAAGACTGGGCCAGCAGGCTGCAGCCCCTCACAAGAGCCCAGGGGACGTGGCAGGGCCAGCAGCTACGCAGGAGGGAAGGGAGCCCAGCAGTGATGATGTTAGTCCTGCTGTGGAAAAGTGCAGGCTGATGTGGGAGAGGCCTTTAGGAAGAGGCTTCACTGCCCTGTGGGAAAAGGAGGGACACTTGGAGAGTGACTGCAGAGCCTGGCTGCTGCCTCCCTCTGGCTGAGTGACACAGAAGAAAGAGGCACCTGCACCAACAGGCAGAGGTCAAACAGAGCTCTCCTGTGGTGTCTCCCCTTTGTGGAGGAAGGAGCCATTATGCATGTGCACCTGACTCCAAGGCAGAGGGCCGCAGCCAAGCCCTGCTCTAGTACCCAGCTCTCTTCTGTGCCATGCAGATACCCTGGGTCACTGCTGGCCTCTACCCTCCTCCAGCAGCTGACTGACTTTCCCACAGACAGGGACACTGAGCCCTCTGACTGCACCTAGCGTCCAGGTCTCTGTACACCTAGAGAGTGACAAAGCCCGTGTGGCCATCTGCGTGTGTCTTTGAACCGCAACTGGCCAGATGGGAATCCCTGTGCACTGCCCTTTAAGGGCATCCCCTGCAGTGGCCCAGCAGGAGGGAGTGGACCAGCCTGCTCTCAGCAGCTTTCTTTCCAAAGCCCTGTCAGGCTACAGGATGCCACGGGGACTTTGGCCAACATCTGCCACCAGCTTTAGTCACTTGATGCCTTGCAGTATGCACTGAGCAGTCACCATGAGGCCAACGGCACCAGGGCAGAAAACCATTTCTGTGCCTCAGGTGTTGTTTCCTTGGAGAGGAAGAGATGTGATGGACCATCAGGGGAGATGGTCATCAGGGCATGTGAGCACAGCCATCACCACTTGGGGACAGCACTGCCACATGAGGGGCTGGCCCTTACCACCCATTTGGCAGTGTCCACTTTGATCTGAGGCACCTATAAAACTGCCTTCTTAAGAGTATACACCCTGGCTGCCTGGTCAACTCCCACCCCACCAGCCACCACCCTGGCCACAGGACAATGTGGAGGCCTTCTAAGTGCAAATGGACGTGAGTCAAGAGGTCAAGGACAATTGGCTTGGGGGCATCTGCATGGCTGAAGAGGCAGAGAGAGCGGCGGAGGTGATGGGAGAGGACATGGGTATCTACCACCTGGCTGTGTTTATTGAACCATCTGTGCAAGCACAGGCTTCCGGGCACCTGACATCAGCACTGGCAAATCCCTGCGGATGCACTCCTGGACAAGACAGGTGGCCTCGTGGCCCTGCCGGATGCCCCAGGCAGCCCGGACAGCACGGTGCAAGACCACTGCTCAGGGGTGGGCAGCCACAGCAGATTCAATGGAGGCACTTAACCCTGAGGATGGGCGAGGACTGGACCCACCAAGGTCCAGTGGTGTGCAGCTGGGCAAAGCCTCGGGAGGCCAGGCGAAGGAAGAGGGGTGGAGCCGCCTGGCACATGCCAGGTGCCCTGGGGAAGGATAACATCTCCCCTTTGAGGTGGCTCCTCTTCTAGGAAAACCCAGAGGCCTAGAAAGAGCAGGAGGACCTGCACACTGGAACAGGGGGATGGCTGGTGACGGTAACCCCCAAGGACGCAGTCACCAGGAGAAGCTATGAGCATTGGGAAGGCATTTGGACATGAGCTGAGGACAAAGGGCAGTCACCTGCAATGCCAGGCTGTGTTTAAGACACACGCTCAGAGCCCTCAGGACTGAGGACAAGGAGGACCCTGGAGGCAGGGAGACGCGCTGTGAGCTGAATGTTCCCGGAGAGGACAGTGCACGAGCAGACAAAGGTGGCCCTGCAATGTGCCCAGGAGGCAGGGTCGACCAGACTTGGGGTCTGAGGGGGACAAGAGGGCAGGGAGCCAGCCTGAACCCAGGGTTCTTGCCTCAGCCAAGCCACACCGATGGGCAGCGCCTCCCCCACTCCCCACTAGCCACTTTCAACAGTCTGAGGTGTAGGAGGCAGGGAATGGCCAGGCAGAGAGTGTGTCGCTTTCCACAAGGAGAACAAACCCTCTAGAGTGAGTGCCCGGCTCCCCCTGACAGCAGGCTCCACCACCTCCCAGGGAGACCTGTGGGCCCAGGGCACTGTCCCAGGACAGGTCCCAGGCATGGCCTTTCTGAAGAGCTACTTAACCACTTCCAAAATAGTAGCAACACATAGCCCTAAAACCAAATGCCTCCCAGGGTGGAGAGCACATTCTGCATTCCCAAACTTGCTCCTTAATTAGGAGCAGAGCCCGGTGGCTGGTTCGTTTTCAGAAGTACGCACGAGGAGAGCCAGAAACATCTCGACATGCCACAGCTGCCAGAGGGTCCTCGTGTCTGAATTCCTAACTGGGTTAAAAAAAAAACAACCAGGAATGTTCACGCTGGTTGATTCAGGATTCAAAACAGAACCTACGACGTGCATTTCTGTATTGTTCAAACCATGTCTAAAAGGATTCACAAGGCATGAGGCGGAATCCCATGCTTGTCCTTACCAAGGGACATGAAGGCTGTCCTGTGTTCTCCCCAGGACACAGCAAGCATCCCAGGCGATTTGCTTTGTAAAGGTGGAAACCTGAGCCGAGAGATATTTGTATGGCACCTGCTCCTCCCCTGGGGGCCCAGAGGACTTCACTTTTTCTTGGCAAGCCCTTTTCACGGACTGGACTAAATTCCGGTGAACCCTCGTGGAGCCTCCAGGTGCACCCGGGGTCTGTGGTGCAGGTATTCTCCTCACCTGCGCAGGTTTCCCTCAAGCACCTCCATGTACTTCACGGTCTTCTCCTTCACACTCGCTTCTGCAAAACAGAAGTGCAACATGAATGTCCCTGAAGTGAGACAGAAACCAGAATCACACAGGCCGGGGACATGTCCAGGATCGTGGCCACGCCTCTGGCAACAGAGGCCTCCTGTGTCAGGAAAACACTGAGGCCCATCACGGCAGGGACCCGTGTCCTGTGCAGGGAAGGAGGCTGAGGTTTCAGGTGTCTCTGAGGGAGTCAGAGATGGGGCACCCTCACTGTGCTGTCCTGGCTTGGTTCCTTCCAGGCCACACACTGACCGCCCGCCCATCAGTGGTCACGGGTGCTCCATCTCCCCACCTGCAGCCAACTTGGCTGTGGGACACAGGGAAGAGAACAGAGTGTGGAGCAACCTCTGCCCTACAGAAGATGCAGCCGAGGACCATAGGCCCACTCACTGGCATGACCCTCCAGTGAGGCCAGCCACCCTTTGACCCTCCAGTGAGGCCAGCCACCATCTGAGTCGATGCAGAGCACACCAGTCACCAAATACACACAGAAGGGGCAAGTGGCAGCGAGCACTGGACATGAGGAAGACCTGAACCCCCGGGCAGGCTCTGAGGACTGGATAGCCCCTCCCCAGGCGCTGAGTATGGGCATGAAGTGCTCCGAAGGGCACCCGCAGGGGTGGCACTTGCAGAGGGGGCTGTAGTGGCCATCCACTGTCAGGGCAGCTTCCCTGCTGGCCTCATTCTGGACTCCGCTTAGTCTCCAGGTAGTCCACATTGCAGGGCTCACTACCACTGTGAACTGGGAACCCGCAGAGCAGAGGCCCGCCTGCCCCAAATGGCGCCCCTGGAGTCTGGGGTCCTACTCTGCCAACGTGTATGTTGGAGTAGGGTCAGGTGTATGGAAGAAGCTGGAAATGCACCCTGGACCTCCTTGCAAAGAAACTAAATATTTACTCAAAAAAATAAAATAATCAGAAATGTTGGTTCATTGCTTCATAAAAAGAGATATTTGGGCAATTAAACTGTTTATGTCATGTGCTAAGTGTTTTTCCAGGTGACTTGTTCAACATAATCATCCCTCATGTCCAGGAGGTGGGCAACAGGACCCTTCCCAAATGCCAGAGTTTGAGATGCTAAGTGCCATCTATAAAAGGGCAGAGAACCTGCATATAACCTATACACATCCTCGTGCATGATCCAAATCCTCCTGGATTCCTGGCAATGCCTCAGACGGTGGGAATGGCCTGTGAATAGTTGTTCCATATTTAGTACAGACCCGGGTTTTGTCAAATAGTCCCAATCTGAGGTGGGTTGGATCCATGGATGCAGAACCCCAGAACAGAGGGCTGACTGGCTTTCCTTTTATTTTAACACCTGCCACATGCCAGGTATTGTCTGCATGTGGGGATTTGCCTGTCACCAGAAGGCTCTACAAAGCAGAGCTCTGCTCAACAGCCGATCTGGAGCAAGTACAGCAAGTTCCAAAAGTCCCAGACGGAGAAGCTCTTCCTGCTCCACATCCCATTCCCTTGGGAAAGGTCAGCAAACAGAAAAGCTCAAGACTCCTGCTTCTGCAGCGGTTACATCCTGACTGGGCGATGATTGAAAGAAGTTCCCTAGAAACTTAAGGTAAGTACTGTGGAGAGCAAGTTAAAGAAAGACAATCGAGGCTGCAGAGCGGTGAGAGCAGGCCTCCTGGGAAGGTGACGCCTGAGTAATAGCTTGCAGAGGGCAGGGGAGAGATGGCAAGCGTCCTGAGCTGAGCAGGGCAGGCGGAAGGGCAGCCAGTCTGAAGGTCCCAGGGCTGGAGCCACCCTGAGTGCACCACAAAGTGGCTGGGGCCCAGTGCTCCACGGAGAGAAGAGACAAGGCAGGCAGAACCTAGGCCCAGTCACGTGGCCATGAGGCAGACTGTGCTCCCAAATGGGGCCCCAGCATGCCTCTGTTCTAGAACCTTCCATTCCCCATCCAGAGGCAAAGCCCATTTCCCTCCCAGGAATCTGGACAGGCTGTGACCTCTCCACACCCAAGTGTAATGGGATTCCATGCGACTCTGCCTGGCCCCCTCTTCTGGGAGCCGGCCACCATGCCATGAGGAAGCCCATGTCCCATGGAGCCACGTGCAGGGGTGGAGGCAACAGCCAGGCACAGGCCTTAGCCCGCAGCCAGCATCAACCCCAGACGTGCCTGACAGGCTGTCGGTATTTTGCCTTTGCACCAGAGGGACCCAGACATCACGGATAGACAAACCAACCCACACACCTGTCCAAATTCCAGCTCTCAGAACTCACAGACCTCAGTGATGGTGACACCGTGCCATGTGGCTGCAAGAATCAGAAAGTCTCTGCCAGGGTGTAAGTCCCAACTAAATGGGAGATGCTACAGAGTAAGGGGGACTGGCTCATAGTCACCAAGCTGAGGATCACAGAGGACAGGGTGGAAGCAGACAGATGCTGGGAAGTTCCTATTATCATCCAGGAGAAGGCCACCAGCTGTCAGGGAGGAAAAGGATTGCTGTACCTCACCATCAAAGTGTCATAGCCCGTCTCAAAAGACCACTTAAGAAGAGAGGGCATAACAGGTTCACCTGGCCAGTTTTATGTCATGCAGGACCCAAGAACCCAGGGAAAACCATGGGAGATGCTGGGTGGTACAGGAGGTACTGGCTGCCAGGGAGGTGCTAAGTGCCACAGTTAATGCTAAGTGCCACAGAAGAATGCTGAGCACCATAGTTAGTGCTGAGTGCCAGGGAGGTGCCAGTGCCACAGTTAGTGCTCAGTGCCGTGGGATATGCTGAGTTCCACAGTTAGTGCTAAGTACCACGGGAGATTCTGGGTGCTGTAGTCAGTGTTCAGTGCCACAGGAGCTGCTCAGAGCCATGGGATATTCTGATTTCCACAGTTAGTGCTAAGTACCATGGGAGATTCTGGGTGCTGTAGTCAGTGCTCAGTGCCACAGGAGCTGCTCAGTGCCACAGTTAATTCTAACTGCCAGGGAGGTGCTGAATGCCAGGGAGAGGCTGAGTGCTCCAGGAAACGCTAATGGATCAAAGAGAAGGGACCCCAGGGCTCCTGATAAAGGCAGGAAGGCATCTGCTTCTCCCCTTTGCCAAGTGATGCTGATTACGTGATCCAGGCCACACCACCAGAGTGGAATGCACGTAACTAGGTTACTCCAACTAAATAAAAACCAGTTGACACTTGAATGTGGTTAATCTGTGAAATGTTTACAGAGTGTAGGCCACAAACACAAACCACCATCCAGGTGTCCAGTCTTGGCCCACTTCACACAAGACGCTATGCCCGACATGCCAAGGACCCCACTCCAGGGACACAGAGATGGCTAGGGCCAGGCGCTGACCCTGACTTCTCCCTGTGGGGCACCATAAACAGTCTTCATCAGAACCAACAACCCCAAAACATCCCATGGGCCTGATGGGAACCCTGACCGAGGCCCCCGCAGTACCCTTTCAGGGTAGGCGTGGCGGGAGGGAGAAGAGCGGTGCGGGCCCAGCTGGGTTTCCGCAGATGACAGCCTGCGTCTGCCTGACAGAGGGCAGCACTGCTAGTCATGGACGTGGGCAGGAGGTCAGCAGCCTCTGGCAGACTGGCCGTGAAGTCGCACAGAACACGGCTTCTGGGAACTGAAGTGGTCAAGAGGGCAGCCGCTGATTCCGAGGCCTAAACGTGGACAGGAGCCAGGGCTCTCCGTGGGGCCGCCCACTCATGTGGTCAGACATTAGCTGCTCCACTGAGGGGCTTGGCCATCACACAGCACCTGGAAGGCCTGGCCTCACTTTGGAAAAACAAGACATCAGATTTCAAAATTTCACTCCTCACTGGCAGAGGTGCCGAGAGCAGAGTATGGGAAAATGCCACATGACCCCGGGACTCAGCTGTCCAGACAGGACCCAAATCCAGTGCTCATCCCTCCACCTCCACTGGCCGCCCTGTGGGAGGCACAGGCTGAGGTTTTCCTTCAAGTCCACTCAGAGGGCTCTGAACAGCAGCCCTGCGCCCAGAGCCCATCGCAAGGGCCAGCCAGTCCTCTGCCCAGGTCTGTAGAAACAGAGCAGGCAGCAGAGAAGGAAGGAGACAGAGTAGGAGCTCCATGGCCAGCGCTCACACACGCAGCCCCAAAGCCCCCGGTCTCACCAGCTGGGCCTGTTGCCAGCCCACACACCTCCCCTACTGGCCCCTCACCTGTCCCCTGCCCTCACTCCCAGGGGCAGATGCCAGACACCACCAGCTAACAGATACCACCAGAACAGTCACTCACACCCCAGTTAGGCCTGCTGCCCTGTGCAGACTCCTGATGCCCTGGAAGCCCTGGGCCCAATAAATCAGCAGGTGTCAGGACAGAAGGGAGAGCCAGCCGATGCCACAGGGTGGAAGCAAGCCGGAAGCAGGAAGGTCCCTTCCAGCCTCGCGCATGCCTCGTCCGATATCCTTGCCAGTGGAAAGAAGCCCCTGCCCACATCGATCCCCACCGACCCTGGGGGCTCCCGGGGCTGATGCTCTACTTTCCAGCCTGTGACTGCAGGGTGTGGGGTCTGGTAACTGAGCTGAGTGTCAGACCTGCTCAGCGAGCTGCTGACTCCCTCTAGCACTGTGCAGGTAAGAGCAGCCTCGTTCTCTGATTCGTCCCTTCCTCCCTCCCTCAACATAACACACATGCACACACACACACGCATACACAGGTGCACACACGTGCTCACACGAACACACACGTGCTCACACGAACACACACATGCACAGATTGAATTCTCGTCCTTCTTGTTGACAGGACAAGGAATGCAACCTGGAACTTGCTTTTTAAGATGAAAAACTTTCTTCTTGAAATATTTGATGTTTAAAAAAAAAAAAAACACCATATCCACCTGATCTTCCTAGGCTAGAGAAAGTAGCCCCACCCCCTAGCTAGCGTGATGCTTCCAGCTGCGTCATTTACTTCATTCAAGTCTCACAATAATTCTCGGAATCCCTTTTGAGGATGACGAGGCTGAGGCTGAAGGAAACCATTTCACAGAGTAAATGAAAACCTCAG